AGTCGTTACAAATTCCAAATCTGTGATCTCATTCTGAAAGATGGCTTTTGCTTCGCCAATTGTAATTCTTTATTTTAATTTAACTTAATTCGGATTATTACAATCTGTTGTTATATAAAATATTGACTTTTGAAAGGAGTTTTGTTGAAATGTGAAATATTCACTGAAAATGAATATGGAAATATTAATATTGCTAGTTTATTAATTGATGCTTTATAGATTTTTCCAAAAGGGTAAATGGAATTAGCTGTTTATAAGAGTAATTAATTGCTTTGTACCAACATAGTTAACAATATAAATGGATCTTTGATTATTAATGATATCGAGCATACTTTATCGGCAATGTTTTCTGTAAGGAAATGACAGTCTATAATCCATTTGTCTTAACTTCATGTGCAAAACGAAGGAGTAAAGCAGCTGCCACGTCGTACACTGCAAAAAATATTCCTCCGCGTTAACCGTCTCATTTTAGAAGCAGTGGCAGTGTCCTAATAAAAACATGAACATTTTGTTAATTATAAATTTACTCCCAGAGACAATCATTAGGAAAGGATACTGCTTTTTCAAACAATTTCTTGTGGAATCTATACAAAGTTAAGTTGCGGCAACTGTATTATAACTATATTGATTGTCTGCATTAAGAACAATGTCAATACATATAGTTGTCCAAACAGAATCTTGTTCCGTTAAGTTATTTAAGGATCGGGAGTGGAAACACACTGCTTGTTTGGTTACTTAATTAATCCGCTTGATACTTCTGTTACCAAATTTGTCGTTTTAGTCAATAGTATCTATATGATTTTACATTTTGTTTTTATTGCATATTGTCTACAGATTAATTTTAAAATATTGTTCAAAGAACATGTAAAACAATAAATTCTCATTAACCGTGTGTACTGATAGAATGACTATGCATATCGTTTGCATAATATGTTGTTTATCCAAATTTCTTATATTCTGTTTCTTTGAAGAGAGAATAAGCATTGTCATAATCTTCAAACACACAATAGTCATATGAATTATTTTGCAGAATTGCATTCTATTTTTGGGTATTTGCATATAATAAACTATATAAAATACTGGGATATAAGTCTTTCACATTCATTAACTGAGTATATTATGAAGAAAAATTGCTTTCTTCATGTATTTGTTGATAAACCACACAATTAACTTTAACTTGGTTAATTAATAGAAGATGGCAACTTGTGATAAGCCATGTATTCTAAAATATAAAGGAGATTGAAGTATCAAGTTTTGTCAAGAGCAATTCTGTTAGTAAATTATAGAAACTTTAATACCTGATGATGATAAAAATATTCCTTTTGGCTGTGAATGCTAACAGACTAACACAAAACTTGGACTGACATCTGTCCCCCTGATGTACAAATCTTTCTGAATACCTTTCCAATTCATTAATATTGTAACTTTAAAACACAACTCTTCCTACTTACCAGTCTTACTAACGGCAAAATCTAGAAATTAACTTTGTTAATCTGGTTCAGTATTTTTGTGGACTTTTCCTGCTCAAATTTTTTAAATTGATATCTGAATTTTCAATTTAAAATGTCAGTTGATCTCCTTTTTTTATTTTTTTCGAATGATATCAAATGTCAGATCCTTTAATAAAAGGCTGACGTTTGATATCATTTCTAACTAGTGAATTTTTTCATCTATTATTATTAGACTTTTTAATGAAGATTTTCTTTCAGCCAATTTAACTTCTGTGGTTGTGTTAATGGATAAAGAATAGACTTGAAAATGTGTAATTTTTGGTCTTAACTTCAAGTCAGTTGATCTATTAGTTATTTTTAAGTTCGTAGGTTACTAATTCAAACTGCGTTAATACTACTATAAAATATTTTGTTTCGCTAACTAAACCATAAAATATCCAATATGATATAGGTTTTTTTACTCTTATATACAATATTTACTTTGAATTGAATTTAAACAAGACAGCCAACGGCGATCGTCGGAGGATAAAGTAAACAGCCATGAAATTTCCGACCGGAAAGGTGGAAGTAATCGTGATGAGTAGGCTTTCATGACAAACAGTATAACCGGATAACTATATTTTTAAATCAAATTTTTTTTCTGGATTTTAACGTATTGACAAAAACAATTTAGTTGGAAAGAAATTTAATCTAAACTTTTTCTTATACCTTAGTTTAATAATTAAGTTTTTTTTTTACTGCATTTTTCTGAAAACGCTCTAAATTGTTTTGTATGTTTGTTTTTTCTTGAATACTTTGTGCCAGGTTGAAGTTATTGGCTGGAAATTTTGCTTAGACTTGGTGGTTTAATTTTAGAAGTTATTGCAACAGAATGTGTGTTCACACATTATTTTTTATCCTCCCTTGGCCAGCATTAAGCCTATTAACTACAGTTTGAGTGTAAAAAACATAACGGTAGCTTTAGTTTACTCTATGAAAGTGAAGTATATTTTATATACAAAATTAAAGGGAATTTACTTAACCACTACTAAACAAAAAATCTACTCATTAAAAAGAATAAGTTGGATAAATATAATAAACAATGTTTTTTCTTTCCCTACTTACATCTGGATAATAGCTGTTTAAAGTTTTTCTGCTTTATTATTGCATCATCCCATAATGTATTCTCTCTGCAGGGACTGGCCACTGGACTATACCGATTATTTTCAAGGTTGAATGAGTTTGACTATTTTATAGTTTTGAGATCTACTCTTTGGTCTGAATGTTTATTTTTGTGGGAAAAAACAAACTACCTAGAAGACAGAGGATAAATGAGGACTGTGGAGTTTGATTGACAAATGCTATAGTATTATTGGTAAGAAAATTGAGGCATTGTAAAAATTTAATTAGTGTGGTTTGAATATAGACTAGATTTGAGTGTGCCACTTGTTTGAAGCCATCTTCTGTCTGACATTCTTTGCTTTGACAATCCAAAGTTTTCTCGGTTGGAACGGAATAAAACCAAACTGTGGTTTTATTTCATAACTTTGTCAGCAAATATCTTGTTTTGTGGATCTGCAAAATATATATCTAAAACAAATCTTTATTAGAATTACAAATAAGAGCACAAAATACAATTTTTTTGTAATGGCTCAGGAAGAAATGTTTATCAATTTGTCTGGTTTTTTTTTGAAGTATAAAGGCCCAACATCAAGGTCCAGAACACTGGTATGGATGTTTTCACACACAAAATTAGTTGTGAAATCCTATGCTTTCATGCATTCTGATATTTATCACATGGAAGTTGGAAGACCAGGTTGGTTTGTGCATTTCACTTGGAGATTGATTTAGTGCCAACATTTCTTGGCACAGAGGTTGCGTGTAACATTCTGTTTGTGAAATATTTGTTTGAGCATTCCTGCTCTTAGATGCAGCTTTAGCTAGAATAACATTTCACTATGGTTACACATTTTGTTTGCTTTGAGGCCAAGTAATTAATAAATGTAACATCTGTACAGATTTTATCTAACTTCTGGACGATGCTAGATGTAAATATTGATATGAACTAACTGCTCTTTGCAAAAATTTGATAGCATTATCAAAGAATCTTGTTGAATTGCAAAACAAAGTTCTTAATTCCATTCAAAATATTTTCTAAATTTTGAGATTAATTATATTTTACTAAAACTGTTTTAAAGGTATTTGTGAGGGAAAATGCCACTCCTTAGCTTCCAAATTTTAATGGATAATAAAGTAACCCATCAAAATTATAAGGCTCTAAATTTTTTGAGTTACTTTGGCATACGTGCATATATTATAACAGCATCATAGTAAAATCAGAATAAATGTTTACAGAGAGATCTTCAAATAACACAGCTTGCTTAACATCAGAAAAAGTCAATATTTATTTTCCAAACGGCAAAGAAACGGATAGCCATTTTGAAAATTTAATTACTTTTTATATTAAAATGCCATTCCGAAAATTCAATAGTTTCTTCGAGCCATTTGTCTGTGCCTAACAATCTTGTCTCGTCATAGAATTTTTGAAAATATGAGTTTAACTAAATTTTGATGGTAATGAAATGTAGCTGTAATTTTGTATGCTATCAGTAATGGATAGTGTAATTGCAAGATCACGTGTTTATCATTGTATCTGGAATGAGATTAATGAGGTTACAAACTATGTATTTGCAATATAGAAATAGCATTTTCAAATCTCCGGAGATGTGTGATAAAATCAATAATGAATAATTGTGATGTCATTTGATATCGTGTGCTTAAGTATACTGTACTATGGAATAGAAAGATTTCAGAAATAACCTTTATGACATTCAGTATTATGTAATCTGTTTGTACTTTACACTGAGTTATCTAATTTATTATTTTAACATTAATTAGATTGTTTGATGATTAGTTATTTTTCTCTCATCTAATTCTTTCTTTATATAATTTGGCTACATCCTAAATAAATTTTGTTTTTAACATTTAAAAGTGGGGGTGGATGGCTAAAGTGGTGAAGGTGGCGTCCTGTTTCTCCAAGTGATCTGATGGAATCCGAACCAGATCTTGTAAGTTTTTAGATGTCTTGTCCTTTCACCACTCTAGCCTTGTAGGAAAGATTTTCTTAACACCTGAAAACAAAGTCAGTTTTTTAGTACGTGTCAACAGTTTTTAAAGTATTTCAGTACACTTGTTAATCCTGCCACTTGATTATCTGGTAAACCCCAGTGGAATTGCCTATAAGCTTTCATTTCCAAGAAAATGTTATTCGCATACATATTGTATTTTTCCATTTACTCTGGTTTCATTTCTTCATAGAATATTTCATGTTGGCATAGCATATTATTTGCCTGCCCTCTCAAAAGATCAATGGGTCACCTTTTGGACTATACACTCTTAATAATCCAGCATTCCTCTGTGCAAAGAATGGCTGGGTTAGCAAGTCTAACATAATTAAAATTTCATTTGGAATAAGCTAGTATAGTGAGAACAGCAATTTTTTTTTTGTATTTTATCTTCTAACATTTTAATACTAGTTCAACATAAATTACAATAATGAAATTTTTTCAGAAATGGTGGAAGCCATGAAAAAAGTTGCTTCCTTGGATCTGGAACTGACCGTGGAAGAAAGAAATCTACTTTCTGTAGCATACAAAAATGTCATCGGAGCTCGAAGAGCATCATGGAGAATTATTAGCAGCATCGAGCAAAAGGAAGAGAACAAGGGGTCTGAGAACAGACTAGAAATGATCAGACAGTATAGGTTACAGGTAATATGATAATTTGAATTGCCGATCTTTAGAGAATTACTTTTACTGTTATTGATAGTTGAGCAGTTGTCGACAAGTTTGATATTTTAAGTGATAGCTGCAACAGAACGTTAATGCTCTATTAAGTATTACCACTACTACACACTATGTGTGAAATTATCTATTTAATATCCTCTTATTCCATTGTCTAAAATTTCAAATTAATTCTATGTTTAGCTGATATATTTATTGTTAATTGTTTAATTGTTAAGGTGTGCTTATTGAGTAGAAAGCATTTTGAAATGTTTGTAACTAGGAATTTGTGAGTTTTGAAGCAAGGGTTGAAAGAAACTAATTTGTATTTTTAGGTGGAAGGGGAACTGCGAGAAATATGTCAAGACATTCTAGACGTATTAGAAAAGCACTTGGTTCCGACAGCCACTACAGGAGAATCTAAAGTGTTCTATTATAAGATGTAGGTTTAATCTGAGTAGCTCCAGAGATCTAAAATTTTGTGCTGTTTCTGATTAATCAAATTTGTTCTTGCAGGAAAGGCGATTACCATCGCTACTTAGCCGAATTTGCCACTGGTAACGATCGCAAAGAAGCGGCCGACAACAGTCTGGCAGCTTACAAGGCAGCAAGCGATATCGCCATGACGGAGCTCCCCCCTACCCATCCCATCAGGCTGGGATTAGCTTTAAATTTCTCGGTGTTCTACTACGAAATATTGAATTCTCCAGATCGCGCTTGTCGTCTCGCCAAAGCCGCATTCGACGATGCAATTGCCGAGCTCGATACACTGAGCGAAGAAAGTTACAAAGATTCTACTCTCATCATGCAGTTGTTACGAGACAATTTGACTCTGTGGACCTCGGACATGCAACACGATGGTAAGTAGACATATTTTACGGGTAGGCGAGCGGACTTTGATCCCGGCAGATTACGACTTGGATACAGTTCAAAGGACTGCGGAGTGTTCAAATCTGATGTTTTTTATTTTTTAATTTAGGCGAAGGTGAGCAAAGGGAACAGGGACAAGAAGTAGAAGATCAAGACGTCTCCTAAACGATCCCACAAGTCAGATCTGTTCCAGTATGTCATTTACTTGTGAAGTGTTTGCCATGCAGGGTATTTTCCTTTGTTCACTCAATTTCTGTGTGTGAATATCTTATATACAAGTGGGTACATTGTTCTGCTTGTAGCATAACACTGTTGCGCTACTTGGCTTGGTAAAAAAAAAAAAGATGGAATTGTGGTTCGTGTCCTTTCTGGGTGTAATCAGATTTGAAGGGATCCCATCTACTTTAGCTGATCATAAAAAGTTTCAACATAACTTTCTTCCTCGGAGTTCAGGAATCTGTACCCACCTGTGCTCCCTTTGTGATTATTGTGTGTATTCCAGTCATCAATGATTCTTTTTAAGTTTAATATTAGGTAAGTCGAAAAGCGAACTAGAGGAAAAAATTCTGTAATAGCCCGTTTAAAAAAAGCATTCCTTCAATTTGTGTGAATCTAAAGAAACTATCAAATCTTTCCACTCGGTTTTCGAGGACCCATCTAGACATTTATGACACACTTAAAATCGAATTTCCAAATTAATAAGTTCAGAATTCTTTGCATTAAAGGGCCAGTCTCTATATTTAAATTGAAAAACGAAAGCTCGTCTCTGGGTGCGGATTTGATGGTTTCTTTTGGCCGAAAGGCAGTTCGTATGTCCTTAAAGTGTTCTTCGATATATCAAATACTGATGTGAAATTCCAAAAAAGTTATTTTGTTTTGTTTTTGAAAAACCTGCATGGTCTTAAACTTTGTTACTGTAGTTGACTTAGTCAGGGTGTATAGTTGGATTGTGCATTGTGTACATGTGATTTCATTTATTAAGAACTGACTGCTTCTAGTGCTGATACATTTAGCTGTTTTTAGCAAAACTGTATTACATTATTCAGTTTCCAAAAAAAAAAAAAAAAGAAAATTTGCTACCAGGACCAAAACTTTCATTGTCATTTATGTGTATATTGTAGTAAATGTCCATTGCTGCATTAATTGTGATTAATAAACTTGTAGAATATTTACAGCAACGATAGCAAAAGCTTGGGGTGTAATCATTAAGCGTAATTTTAAAAATGTCAGCTACGGCGGAGAAAGACAAAAAAAAAATTTTAAACTACTCTATCGCAACGGTCGAGAAATACTTCGAGATTCGATAACTGCATGCTCTGTTTCTCTCTCTCTCTCTCGCAGCCTACGCCGTCACGTTTTAAAATTAGGCCGAGCTTTTACGAACTTAAACAGAAGAAATATAAGATAAATTATATATATTATTCGATCGGGATGGACGACGTCAAAATCGGATGTCTACTTATTCTCACACTTAAAAACAGTATCTTTTTTACATTTGTCCTTTAGGTTTTGCTTCGTCGAACACTCTCGATGCACTAGACGCTTCTAAATATCTAAATGGTATGTCTATATCTATATTATCGTTAATATATTTTGCATTTTCTAGTAAAATAGTGCACTTATTTGTGAGGTAAGTTTTCTTAGAGAAATTTGGATACTTCAGAGATACTGTATTTCACATTGTCTTGTCATTCCATATTGTGGGGAAAGTGTCATTCGGGTGTTTTCCACTCGCACGGGTTCTCTCCTTTTCGAGGCCATGTCAGGGAGTGTCTCTGGCTGTGGCGTTTTTGGAAGATGCTCGAAAAACGGTCACTTTCTCATCTGCGAAATCTCGGCCGATGCCCGGACACAAGAATTGTATGCGGGAGGCGGGCTCTGCTTTTTGAACTGCATTCCAGAAAGGCCGGTGTTGTCTGCACATTTTTCTGCTTAAATAAATAAATATATATATATGTCGGATTTTTGTGACTCGTTGTTGCAAGTACAGCACTTTGCAGTCAGGTACTTTAGTTGGTTATATTCACAGATGACTGGATATCATACTCGATAATTTTGCCACATTACACGTCGATCAGTTAGGCTTTAATTTCTTTTTTCTCTCTCACAACAGAATCAAAGAAAATGTTGGGTCACATTGGTCTGGCGCGCCGCCATTCTTCTGACATGAAACTTTTGCTTTTTCCGTAGTCACGCGCAACATATTCTTTGTGGTCGCGGCCGTCCGGCACACACGGCATAGTTTTTTCCTTCTTGTTATGTAACTTTTGTGTATTTTTTCAACACTGCGTGTCTTCGAGTAAAGCATCCGTTAGGCTGCCAGTGCAATTTAGTCTTTTCTCTCTCTCACTTTCTCTTTCTGCATTTCGATTCAAAGGAAAATAAAAGAAAATCAAAAGTAATTTACTCTGCTCAAACATTTTTTCTTTTTAATTTTATCAAAATCTGGCATGGTTCGGCCGCACGGTTAAGCATACTCAAATACGTGTTTATTGTTTTTAAAATAAGTTTCGCAAACCTTGGCGTCGGAGGCTCGGTTTGAAAGTAACATTCACGAAATATGATCCCTTGCAGACTTAAACGTAGTCGAAACACACCGACAAAGTATCTAAAAAAATGGGAAGAAAAACTTTATAATTTATGAATATAAGTTTTATTTTTCAGAATTTGTCTAACTGATATATAATTATATAGAATTGTATTCTTTAAGAACTTTGAAAACAAAAAATTGGCCCCGTTGCAGAGTTATTGTATGCGACGGTACAATTTAACCTGGATCTTTAAATGTGAAATAAATTTCTTTGAAGACAATTTGAATACGGTCTTGTGTAAGTGATTTTTGGAGAGATTTAGGAGTTTGTTGCTTTGTAATTGCGACCGGATTCTTTCCGTTGCATGCATTTTTTAAAGCTTTGGTTTAATGCCAGTCGTGTTGAGAACAACGTTCCGGAAAGTCTATTTATACAATAAAGCATAGAATCAATGTTAAATTGAATTGTTTTATATATATTTAAATGTTGTCTAAGTTGAGCAGAAGTCAAACTTTTCACTTTGTTTCTGGGGAACAATCAATTGGACTTTAGTATGTCTCTGTACAAATCTGTGGAAGTGGTGCATGTGTACGGTACAGAAAAGTGGCTATCCAATTGCAATGCCTCCAGGGAGAGCTCAAGTTTTTTACCATGCACCGGCATAGATATTTGAGACAAACAAAAACAATTGCAGCACTTCCTTGAATAATATATTTTGAAATTTTTGTATTTCTATAAGAAAAGGAACAGAGATTTTTATGTCAGCCTACTTTTGAGTTTTCCGTCACATTAAAATACCTTGTGGTATAGAGTCAAAACATTGGGTCACGTGAGACAAATTTACATTGCTAGTGGCCATTGGAAGCATGCCGACATCACAAATTCTACCAGAGTTATGTTGGTTTCTACCATAAATTGTATACAATATGACAAATTTATTTTTCACGTACACGTCTCAAAATAATTTATATAAAAATTTAGATAAAGTGTAACTATTGATTTTTCAAAAAATTGTATGAAAATCTTCCATAAAGTTACATACTAGACATTGCAAACTTATTACAAATATACAGTTCACTCAATAGTTATTATTTGTAATTTTACAGTTGAATGTGTCAAGAGAAACCAATCAAACCTATTTTATAAACTGCTTATTTTAAGTACACTGTCTCATCAGTGGCAATTCTTGATTTTTTTCCCCCTTTGAAAATAAAACAAAATAGAGGGGAGTTTTAAAATGATGTTCTAGTCAAAAATATCGGTGGAATGATAACTATAAATCCAAAATATAAATAGGAGACTTACCGAAATGGTGAGAATGAAGAACTCATAGCTAACAGAATCACACATGGATAATGTAATCGTCAGATGCCTGCACATTAATTGACTTACAAGGATTTTTTGATGTCATTTAGAGTGGCAATCTCCCACTGCTCGATGAGACTTTTTATCCAGCCTGTTGGAGTTGCACGAGACGTTTTGAAGTACTTTTAAGTTGTTGGCACTATAACACAACTTATTCCTGCATATAGAAAATCTTTAATACGACTTCTTGTATTAATATAAGTTGTATATGGAAGAGTATCTTCGAAATAGGTACCTTTAGCAATTATGCATTCGTGGGTGTCGACGCAATCTGAGAAGATTTATGTGGCGTCTTTTTAAGTGCTTTGGTCGCCTTGGCTTCTGGCGGGTGTTTTCCGATAGGGCCAATATCAAACTGGAAGAATGAGAGTGCTTTTCGTTCTCCTTACTCTCCTGGTTTTGCTCCCATGCATCTAGCTTTTTGCTGGAACAAGGAATCGGAGATGTGGGTTCCAACAAACAGAAGAGCAGAAACTCTGGTGGCAATAGCAGTTGAAGACTTTTTGACATTATCTTTAGGTGTACTAGGATGAATATTTAGATTGGGAGGAATTTGATTTAAAAGCGGTGCAGGGTAAGATTGTGTCATACAAGATGCATTCGGTATAAAACCAGAAAAGTGTAATTAAAAGTCGGGAAAAGGAGCAATAGTGTAGTAATTTTGACACATGAAACTTTCGAGTCAGAGGCTTGGTAACTATGACTGGAAACATTTTACTTGCAAGATTGTAAGACCGTGGACTGAGAAAATGACTATACTCAAAGCAAGAGCAGTAGTGTTGTCTGATTTTATGCAAAATCACTTGGAATAAATTTGCAAGGGCAGGTATAGTAAAAATATGACTACGTGAATTGTATGTGGGTGTACGAGTAAAGTTGTAAATTTTCAAAAACAGCCATGGTTCTGTGGATTATCCATGGCATCCACCATGGTCCATGGAGAATCTTCCACAGAACCATAGCTGTTTTTGGAAACTTACAACTTTACTCGTACACCCACGTGCAATTCACTTAGTCGTCTTCTTACTATACCTGCACGTGCCAATTTGTTTTGCATAAAATCAGATAACTGTGCACAAAACAAGAGCAGTGTAGTGTCATTTTCTTGGTCCGTCATCTTACACTCTCGTACGTCAAGTGTTACTGGTTACCACTGCATCTGTCTCGGAAGTTGTGTCAAAGTTACTACGCTATTGCTTGTCCTCCCAGCTTATAATGGCACATTTGTAGTTTTTTATTGACCATGCCTCATATAATAGAACCTATGCTAAATGTCTAGTTCGTTTTTGATTTTACTACATAAAATAATGGAAATTTTAGAAACTCATTAAGCATGGAATTAGTTTATTTTAAAATGTCCACAATAATTTTGTCTGTACGTAGTAGTAATCTAGATCCAACACCAGTCTGCTAACGATGCATTAATATGGGATAGTTGAGGTGCAATGAGTAGAAAAGTAATCTCACAAAAGTCCTAGCGGTCGATTTTTAGCAGGAAAATTCTTCCGTAATTATCAACATCCTAACAAGACCGCAGATTTTCTGTGGACATTCAGGTGGGAGGTTTGTCGTCATTGCCATTTAGCTACCAATGAAGAAATAAAACCTGCTATTTCCATGTGACCGTGAATGCAAAGACAGAAATTTTGACGGTACAAACTATTTTCACACCTTGTGACAAATGCCCAAACAGATCCTCTAATTTTTGTCGAAAAATAGAAAACTGTAGATAATTTTTACTGCAGAAATGAAAACAGAACTAGTTTTAAGTCTATAATACTAGAAGTTTTTTTGCACGAACCAACATTTTACATCATTACAATTATTTCCACCGGTGTTTTGTTTTCCCCGTTGGAGTATAATCTCTCCAGTGCCGCGTGTAATTAACAGTTTATTTTGGAAATCTTATCGGTCTATGAAATGTAAAGCCTTGTGCATTTATCGGCAGTCCGATAATTTAAATTTTGTTTGGAAAGTTTAAAAAGCGAAAGTTGGCAAAACCGAATGGGTCATATCTGTGAGGCTCTAAAGATTTTTTGCCATTATCTGAACAGAATTTCTAAAAACCAGATGCCTAGTTTTTCTTGGACGTGCAGAATTTCTCGGGATTCTGCGTGTCAAACATTTCTGTAGGAGAGCCTCCCAGCAGATCACCCCCCATCATTTTTCTTATACCTTGCTGTGCATTAACGTTAAGTAATGCCAAGTGTCGAGTATTTGTCGCTTGTATGGCTATTTGGTACAAAATTTACGCGGGAAATACCTGAAGATACCTCGATAATTTGCATGGACCAGTCTATGTGGTCGTATATAACAGGCTTAGTTTGTGTATGCTTTCACTAACAAATGCCAAAAACACATTTTGCTTAGCAAAATGGCAGTGTTGTCTTTAAAACAAGACAACAGCCAATTGTTTCAGATGCTTGCTTCATGCATTTATTGATAACTTCAAAGAAACAGAAAATCAAATTATTTTATTACATAAAACCAAATTTAAACACTGCAGAATTCTTGTAACATCTGTCACTCCAACCTGGCCGAAGGTTTTCGGCCATCACAAAAATGTCGGAATGTGTCGTGATTTTCAAAATAAATTTCCGGAAACAATGTCGGCAATGCGATATTTTCTCCGCTTTCTGCCCTTGATTTGCATGCCAAACAAAATCGACACAAATAAGTTTGTCGTGAATAGATTTTTAAAATTGTGTGTGTGTTGAATTTGAATGACAACACTGCCAAATGGAAGTGACAATCTTCAGAAGATTGAATTCTTTCATTTATCAATGTAAATCTTTGGTATGTTTGTGTGTCTAAATATTAAATGGTGATAATACATTGTTGCATGAAATACTTTGACCAGGCAACAGACTACGGCAACAACCTTAATTTGACAGTGCAGTGACACTGCATTAGACCGATGCCTGGTTGCTGTAAGTGTCAATAGGTATTAGGCAATCTTATTAATGTTCCTGTGATGGAAGTCTTCTCAACACAGGTTATGCCAGAACCAGTTTGGTTTCATACATTGGGCCTCTGGGCCATTAGTGTTTGCTCTGCATAATACTAACCAGATACATGTGTTTTTATCTGACTAACAAATCTATTGTCTAGTACAGTGGAGCCTCGTATAACGTACTTAATCCGTTCCAGGTGCACGTCCGTTATACGAAACACATTTTCCCATAGAAATACATGTTAAAACATATAATTCGTTCCGCAGCATAAAATAACCGTACCATAAAAAAAATGAAAATGGGACAGTCACCAATTATGCCGGGTAGTCAGATGTTGTGAGGAGGAGGTGGAGGAACACTTTCTTCACACATTCATACAGATACAGACTTTTTACACATTGCAGCAGGTCTCTTTTTATTGTTTTTTAATCGGAGTCAGATTCAGGAGAGGCTACCGGAGCTTGCAGGGTCAACTCCTCTTGTTCCATCCTTTGTTTTTTGGCAGCTGGCTTCTTGAAAAACATGTCCAAGGTGGTCTGTTTCTCTCTCTTCGTCAACACCTGTCGAAAATGACGGGCAAGGGTGTCATTGTAGAGATCATTGATCCTCTTGGCCTATTATTAGAATATATTATTAGTATATTATAAAAATAGCAGATTGTCATTGGCGACGGCAAAAGAGTGGAAACATCATTTGCAGAAAGTCCGTTGTTCGCAGCATCCGTTATACAAGGCACCACTGTATAATGAAATTACACGAAATATAAATTAACAAAAAAAATATTTTATTGTGTGTTTTTGTACATTTGTTCATTACACATTATTCAAAAACCGGCTTTTCCATTTTTCTAACAGATTAAGGCTCACGTCGTTTCCTCCGCACACCACCACCACGACCGGACCCTCTCTTTTCAGCTGGCCATTTGCAATTAGGTCAGACACGAAGCCGTCATACACGGCAGAGAGCGATGCGCCACACGAGGGTTCCACCAACATTTTGTGATCATCTAAAGATGCAAAATTCTTTGTAAAAAATAAAATTGCATTTATAGAGACTTCAAGTCTGTGACCTACCTGCAAATTTTAGGCATGAGGACACCGCTCTGGCATCATCAGTGACTTCAGATATTATCTTGTGGATGCTTGCGTACTCAAAAGATTTCGGACAGACCGTACAGGCTCCCAGAGTTGTTGCGATACTGCAAAACGAGTGCATTTCTATTACATTCTAATTTGACTGAGGCGACGGTAAGCTTAAGGCTAAATTTCACATACCTCGTAATTTTTGGCAGCGTAACCAATTTACCGGCTTTGAACACTCTCGTACGTCAAGTGTTACTGGTTACCACTGCATCTGTCTCGGAAGTTGTGTCAAAGTTACTACGCTATTGCTTGTCCTCCCAGCTTATAATGGCACATTTCTAGTTTTTTATNCGAGTGCATTTCTATTACATTCTAATTTGACTGAGGCGACGGTAAGCTTAAGGCTAAATTTCACATACCTCGTAATTTTTGGCAGCGTAACCAATTTACCGGCTTTGATAGACGCGTTGTAACTCTCTGCACCTCTAGTTTCCATGGCGACGATCGGCACGTTATCCCAACCGACGTCTCTCAATCCTTCCACTATGCCACAGAGGAGTCCGCCTCCTCCCACGCAGGTCACTATGAGCGATGGTTTAGAAGGAATATCCTGATAAATTTCACTGACGATTACAGCATTTCCCTTCCTGGAAATATCATAGTAAATTTCACAATTTAAATTTGGATGTTAGTTTATAGAAAATTGTTAAAACTCACCAGATGGTGGGATGAAAAGGATGAATGTAGAATGCTCCTAAAAGTAAAAAACAAATTCACAATACGAAACTTTACGAGAGCCATCATCGTTGATGATTCTCGTTTCTTATTACGACGACATTTCTGACCTGTTTCTTTGGCTATCTGCAATGCCATCTTGTCCGTTTCGGTCCAGTTACTTCCGTGAATACGTAGCCTGGCGCCCTGCTGCTCTAATTTCGTTCTCGTCGCCATCGTGGTGGCTTCCGGTACGACTATGGTGGCTCCCATCCCTAGTTTCCTGGCGCAGTAGGCCATAGCCATACCAGCATTTCCTCCGGAAGCAATCACTACGTCTCTATAGCCCTCCTTAAAAATCTATAACCCCGAGAATTAGTTACAACACGCTTCTCTGTACGAAAATCCAACAACAATTACCTCCAACGCTCTGAAACTCAGGCCTCGTTGTTTAAAGGAAGAGGTGGGTTGCGCATTTTCCAGTTTCAAATACACTTCTCTACCCGCTAGTTTGGATAGTGGGAGGCTTTCGATGAGTGGCGTTTGACAGTAGAGGTTGCTTCCGTCCATCTTACAACTAAATTCTACAAGCAGTTTGAACAGGTAAGCGACAGAAGACAGAGTGGATGCCGGTTGTTGATGGCATTATCACAGTGTGTAAAGTTTATGAAAGGAAACAAAGTTCGATTTGTATCAATTATCTGTCGAACAATCATCATTGTTTGACAGATAAGCAAATATAATAATTTTAAAATAATAATCTTTATTGCAACACTGATAAAGTCACATTCTGTAATTTTTAAACACAGTTGAAAGTCCAGTTTTAGTGAACATGCAAACAGGTAGTAACAAAGAATACAAATGTAACTGTGAATGCCTAGTGGTCTCTTATGTGCACAAATTTAAATTGTAGTGATTTCCGCTACAAATCGTGGCCTCGGTGAACAAAGAAAAATATATATACAACGGTGCAGTGGCCGGGAGTTTAGATAAGACATAGTCTATTCCGTGACGCCCTGCAGAGCCAGTTCTGCCAGGACGTTGTCCAGATACTGCACGTCCGGCCAACCGTGTCCCGAATAGTTGGAGGAAAGTTCGGTCTTGTGATGGATCTCGTTCCACGTGACTGTGTCGTCTTCCCCCGTGGTGGCCGAAGAACCGACCGTGAAGATGAGACGTCTTTCCCAAGCCTTAACCAGGAGACTCAGCACCTGATTAAGATAACGACTTTTAATAATAATGAATATTATTTTAATTGCATTTTTAATTATCATCATACTAATTAATTAAATACCTTTCTGCCTTTTTTGTTATTTGGTAAGTAACAGACCCGCGGAAATCCTCTGGCGGTGTATCTTCTGCCGGGATGAATGTGCTCCGGTCCCTGTATGCCGGGCGGAATGTTGTAGATGATGGAGATGGTGTCACATTCGGGATACCCGGGTAAGGAGCAGGGTATGACGTGAAAGTCCATGGTTCCCCGAGGTTGGTTGCCTCGTTTTATACCGTAAATGGTCTTGCAGGTTGGACACTGTAGGTGACCGTCCTGTAGAAAACATTAAAACTCAGTAATCGATAAAATTAATTTTGAAACTATATTTATGCATAAAAATTTATTAATTGTTGACAAAAACATGCATCATGGCAGAGACTATAATGGCACTTATAACTGATCATGTTGTAATAAGTGATTACAATATAGCAAGAGAGACAATTTGTAATGGAACAATGATGCAATTTATAGGAACCTTTTAGTACCTTGCCTAGATAGATGTTGTACATGAAGGAATATAGATGCTGCCATCCTGCAACACAAACTTCTACAGACATTGCAAATTTTGCTCCTGATCCCTCCCATATCTGGAGATCAGGCAGGCCAAGAAGGTGAATATGTCAGACATTTCTAAGCAAACTGTTGTGGTATGTATGACACTGAGGACAAAACTAGTGAAGGTACGGGAGCCACTGTACAAGGTGGCATCTTTGATCGTCATTCTGGCAGTAGGGACACGGCATTCCTAATGTTCAAACAATAAGTATGCAGAACTTTAAGGCACTTTCGTGGCATTACCCAGGTGCAACATCACATAACCAAAACAGATTGTGCAATTAATGCAAAACTCTGCCTGCAGTTATCTGGATGCACAAATTTTTGTTAACCATTGTATTTTGAGGAAGTAGTATTTGACTTAATAAATTAGTGAAGCATGTCCTTTTAAAATTTCAAATTATTTTATCCTGCCACTGCCTTAAAATTAACAATAATTGGGGCATAATAAACAAAAATGGTAACAATTTGAAGTCTGTATAATTGGGAAAGTAATTTTCCACACCTTAAACACTGCAAATTGTCACAAGCGTGAGCATGGTACGCTCTCAATGTAAAATATAGTATGCATAAATTACATACTAACATCGCATATACACAAATGCCCATGTTATGCTCACACTTACTACAGATATTAAAATTCACAAAACATTTGAGTTCCAGATTTATTGGACCATTCCATCTCGATTTCACAGTCTAATAGATTGTTAAGCATCTTGTTAATTGCACGTAACGGTCCTCAACCCCTGGGCCGCCCAAGGAACATTAAATTATTTCCATTTTATTTACTATGGTGTATTTGTCTCGGGTTTGTGCGACTTTTAATAGAAGATGGAACAATGGAATAAACTGGACACAAGAAACATACTTCGAGTGTCATTGTCTTGTATTACCCCCAGATGGAACTGTCTCGTTGCAAAGAAACAAGCTCAGGGTTCTCATTGATTTAGCATTCTAGTGAGTTAAAATGTTAAATCACATTATATTCATTTTTTGGTGTAATTGTATTTTATTTTGAAGGCACGTTTAAATACAGTTAAAATTATTAAATCAATCTAAAATATAAACAATCAACGTCCCCCCTCAGTGTGCCGCGATGAAGTTATCAAATGTTGACCGGTCTGCAACGATAAAAAGGTTGGGGACCGCTGATCTACGGTACTAGCAGCAGCGGTGTCATTCCGTGGTATAGATAATAAATTCCCATTACAAATAAAAATATATACTGCTAATAAATAAATTATACCATTCATTTAAATAATATCTGAAAATCATTGCTACAGATACCCCTAGTGCATTCTGCGAGAGATTACAGATATATAAGTAGAATATACTTCTGTAAATTGTTATGGGAAAAATCTACTTATTTTTAGGATATACTAACAATAAGTCAGGTTTACTATATTGTAGTTGAAGATTCTCTGGAATAACAGGCTACTCTATAAGAGTATGATTTTATTGAGCATAAACAATTGGTATCATGTAAGATGCACATAAGCAAATTGACCAAAAAAAAAAAAACAGTACGGTAGCCCTCAATGTAACTTTGCATAACTGGAAGCAAATTCAGTAGCAAATTTGACAACACCATGCACGAAAAAATCTGTCTGTTGATCACACCTCATCCGACATTTTCTTACGCATGCAATATGTGGAGTCTATATGTACCACCAGAGTGAAATAAAACAGAACCATGGTAAATTTTCTTGAGACATAAATTAGTGTCTGGTGATTTTAAAGACTTTTTTTTTTTTTTTCAAAAATGATTCAGTTTGCTTTGGTGTGTAAGTTGTATGATTTTGTACAGTTCAGAAGCTTCTGTCAAAGTGGAAATTGTAAAGCATACTGTTTAGTGTATTTCTACATTTTCCTCATGTCTTTTGCACTTTAATATTTGAGTTTGTTTTTTAAGTAAGAAGTTTTTCAAAGCTGCATTTACTTAACTTTGTATATTCTGTAATTTAACTCGACCTGGCAAGGGTTCACACTCGAGTCCCTTAAAATCAATCCAAACTCTTGCCATAATTAAATCGGACTATTAGTTTCTAATTGTTAATGAGTAATTTGGATTTGAATATGGCAAGAGGTTGGATTAGTATCAATACATCAGGCTTTGGGATGTTTAGGATATAAAGATTATATGCATTGTGTAATTGAAAATTTAATAAGAACAAAGGCTTAATTCAGCAAAAAAATCAGTCTTCCTCGTGATAAAGATTGCCTTTCATGGCATCTATTTCAGAAACGTGTATAATGCACATGCAAACCAGCATCTACAAACCCAATGTACAGTACAGTACATATGTAATAGCTAAATTTAAACATATGCCAACGACAATGGATTATATGTATCTAGACGAGGAGTTTGGACTGGGGACTCGGGTGCTGTAATTAGCAACATGTCCACATGGTAAGTGGCAATTGTGTGTTTGTGTCCTGCTCAGAGCAAAGCATCAAGATTTTAAAAATCCCAGACAAATTAACAGTATTACTATATTTTCAGTATATGTTATATACATAACAGCAGGAAAAATAAAATGGAGAGATGTAATTAAACATATTAAAATACCTTCGGATGCTACACTAATATTTTCAGCCTAATGCATAGCCTATCCTCAGGTGCCATACTTTTGGTACTATGTATTAGACTGAAAATGTTAGTGTGTTCCAAATAAATCTCTCTCGTGATGATTTTAGTAATTATTCTTTCTGCCGAGAGTGGGTTCGGTTCTTATTTTTCCATTATAAAAGAACATCTAGTAAAATAGTTACACCAATAAATGCAGTAACAATTTGTATAATATTAAAAATTCCATACCTGAGTTCCACTGTTATACATAGCTTTGAGGCACGCTTTGTGAAAAGTGTGAAGACAGGAACGTAGTGTGATGACTAAACCCGTGTTGTCGTAAGGCGAATGGACGGACAGATTTTCACAGCAGATGATGCATTCCTAAAATTTGGAAAACATTAGATTTAACTCTTACAAAGTTATTTTGGGGAGTAACGTTTACTCACCTCTGTCGTGCCATTAGGATCCTGAACGGAAGCGAACTGCCCAATCACCTCCTCTCCATCTATTTTACCTTAAACCAGAAGAGAAAATTAACATAAAGTAAATCTACTTCAACCTATTTTTGCAAAAAAGAAAAAAAATGTACCCGACGACAGGTCTTCGGAGGTCGAATTGCTTCTTGTAGTCTTTGGTGGCTTAATACCTGGTACCGGTTTTACTTCACCAGCAAAAAATGAGTGACGATACGGCACATTTGGAAAGTCTTTCGACTGAGTTTTTAATGATTTACTGTTTGATGGTCCGGCTGAAATTTAACAATTAAAACAAAGATAAAAAAAAAAAAGCTTGAATCTTATTTAAATTACATGTCAATTAACTAACCTTTACTTTGCGCTTTTGATTTTTTTCTTCCTCTGGCTTCTTTTCTAAAAGATTTTATTTATTTTAGTTACATCAGGAAAAGTTTGATTGAGACTAAACGTTTCCACATAACACAATAAAAAATAAATAAAACAAATGTGTTCTAGGTTTTTTTTTTTAAATTTAAAACTTAAAGTATAAAATTGTTAATAAAAGGTTACCTAGAGTTAGTGGTTTTCTTGTCGCAGAGAGGAAGAATTTCCGAAGTGCTATTGGACGCACCGTCAACACTTCTATCAGAGATGGATCTCTCCGCGTCTCCGTCGATGGAATCATCTTCACCAGTCGATGCCAATTTCACAATCTTATTGGCAAAATTAGAAAAATGTTTCATTAGGCTCTTCTTCTGACTCTTCGATCTCGTGTTCTTTGCCGGAGGAGAGTCAGTACAGACGGGAGACTTTGGTGGCGAACCAACATCTGTGGAGACTGTGGAGGATTTCGTCGCGTGCCTGACCAATGGATAGGGGGAAGAGACTGTCCGCCTGACGGGTCGTTCAAAACCGGTACGAGTACTCTTCTGAGACATGGTTTTAAAATTGATACTGTAAGAATAGCTACTGGAAATTTTGCTTAAGTCAATGAAGCCAAGACCCTGAAAACAATAAGAAATTTTGAGTACCTTCCTTGCTAATTTAATAAACTTTTGCTTACAGTTTGCACTTAAAAACAGTAAGAGCAAAATAATCTCTATTAAAATACCCTAAAAAAAATCTTTTTATTGATCAAGAAAATGACAAGATCATTGTCATTTTCAAATTACATTGTCATTCTCATTAATCAAACTATTTGATTACAAAATCTTGAATTTGGCCTGTTTGGTATCTTTGCTGTAATCATAATTCCATTATTATAAACAATAACTAGCAAGGAGAGCCTGCAACAAGTTGCTCTTGACGAACTGCAAATTCACAAAGATCTGATGTAATTTGTTCTGACAACGAAATTTTGCGATGTGCACACATCTGATAGCCTTTGTATGGTGGTGTTAAGAAATTTCAAATTCCAGTTGCCGACAAGAGATTAACTTCCACCCCATGACTATTTTATGGACAGCCACTGCCACTCAAGTTGCTAATTATTCCAAATTTCATGGTTTGCATTAATTTACGATTATCAAAGATCCCATAATCTTTCAGTGCTGTTGCAAGTTTTTAAAATTGCACAAAAGACTAACAACTTAAAACAATCCTACTCATCCTATTTTTTGAAAATAAGAGGCATAATAAAATATCACTCGTTACGCAAAGTTGTTGACATCGTCTTGCTATTAATACGGATACGCTCAACGTAAGACTTAAAAGTAACGACAATCATTTCTTAAACCATCCGTGGCCTCAAATGTGACTATGCTGCCAGTTGTGTAACCGTAAGCATAACCTCATATTTTCTATAATAAATGGCTATTAAATTAATGCATATGCTGTTTTTATCAATACTGGCATTGATTACTGGTTCACTATCACCCAGTATAAAAGTTTTTACCATCTGGCATCTTACTTTCATTCACAGACACGTACTATATCAGATTTATGATTAAACTAACTTATAACACGACTGTCAGATCACGTATCTGCATTACATTATCATAACTATGGTAACTACTACTTTTGGACGTTCTAAATAAACTCTGCTGCAATTATCCTGAATGTAACTGCCACAGATAATCTTGTCTTACTATGAAGATTGAAATATGTACTAAAAACCTTTTTTAACCATCAGAAACATGCTATGAAAATCTTAAATTTGTATATCAATCTTTTCTTTCAAGTTCTCTTTTCACTTTAGACAAAAAAAAACAAAAACTTTCTTTCACAAATTGCCATTAAAATAAAATAGATGCTCATTTTTAAATTACTTGTTAGCGATTTCAAACAATTCTTTTTTATTTTAATAAAACTGTTCTCTCTGTATATAATCATTTACTTTAAATTTTTAAAAAAACAGCAACATGCAGGCTAAAATTTTAAGTTAAACAATGGCACACCATCTAAAATAAGAATTAAATGGATTTAATAAAAATACTATCGCCTTCATTAGCAAGGCTCTCTTACTATTGTTATTTGATAGAACAAGAATAATAACTTAATTCCAGTAGGATGTTCTTGATCATGTCTAATGATGCTCGAAAATAGTCTGTTTATCAAATGAAACAATCTTATGATAGTACAGTCAACCCACCCATAACACGATAGATATGTCCCAGTTTTTATGAATCCATTTTCTAAGAATCCAGCCAATCAAAGCCCGGCACATATGAAATTTACGGACTACGGCTGTTTGAAAGATTTCTTCCATAAAATTAATCGATTCTAGACTAATTTGACTCAACATTTTCAAAATACATATAATTTTTTGGGAATAATCCATATAAACTATGCTATAAACAAAAAATTGTAGGATTACTTACCGAGCGTGCACCGTTCGACTACGCCATTGCTTAAGCTTGTTTTCGTCGTGGAGCTTGTCATTGAATGGCGCTCGCGTGCTTTCTGATAAATTATTTTTTTTGCGAAAAATTCGCTGAACTTTGGAGACATCATTAATATAAATATAATTTTTATGGATGTTAAATGATAATTTAAACTCAACGGTTTGTGCAATATCCGCTATTGATCTAGATTTGACCAATCCTGTCGCGACACAAGTCGGCGATGACATTTTACCAAATTATAGGAGTTTTTTTTAGCATGTTTGTACGAATACTGTCGCAATTTTTTCGCCATGATATAGGAATCCGAACTATAGGAATCCGTGTTATAGGGAGGTCGACTGTAATAAACTAATAACTTGTACCAGAACAAACACAATTAGGCCCACTGTGCATAATGAATCATACAAGTACTTAATTAATACCTATTTCTAGCAGGACAGCCAAGGCAATTAAGTTGTCAGCCTACAGCTCTGACAAACTTGGATCGAATCTGGGCATGTCACAAACCCCCAGAATTTTCTGGGGTGGTCTTTCCCGGGTGTCAGGCTTATTCCTTGCCTGACAACTGGGTGCAGTCAAACTTAAGAGTACAGTTTTTATTAGGCACAAATATTGCCTACAATGTAAACTGCTACAATTTCAAAATTACAGCGTTTGTTCCCCTTTACTATAGGTGGCTAGTAGTTTATTTTGTGTGCCTTAGTGGTCAAAAAATATCTTATTGATGTGTCTGTTCACAAACTTGCTTGGAAATAACCGTTCTTTACAATGATATACATCTAGAATTTGTGAGTGCTATACTTTTGACAGGAAAAATTGGTCTCAATTTATATTTGACTGACCCTTGTAATTTTATAAGATTCAACTAATTACGACAGTATAGTTCTTTAACTCATTAAAAGGTCTTTTTTATTTCACATTAACATCTTTGAAGTCAAGGCACTTCGTCTCCAGATGCTATCAAACTACATATACTGTATGTGTTTTTAAAGAATAGTAGTTATAGAAACTGCAAGAGGTTACAAACTTTGTTTAACTGATAATGTGAAATAAATAAAACTTAAAGGTTCATTGTGTTTTAGTGATTTATTGTAATAGACCTATCATATGTCAGAATATTTCAAATTTTGTCCATAATGTCCACTATGCAATCTATTATTTTCCGTAAATGAGTGAAAGAACAAAACTATGTTCCAAAAATGCTATTGTTATTAAATTGGGAACTGTTACATAATATCCTTACTCTTCATCATACATTTGTGTTTAGAAATAATGTTATGAATATAGTTTTTCAAATTTTATACGTAACAATCTATATAATTACAATAATAAAAATGTAACAAAAAATTACAGCTATTATCTTAATTTATTTTGGATAAAAAATCAAATTACCTGAGCGAAAGCATCTTCGATAATGGCGGCTATGTCCATATCAAAGATGAACCATTGTCCCGCTTTGTCTCCAGCCCACTGCCAACACACGCCCGAAGCCGCCACGCTGTTACTACTAAACAATTTTCTCCGAACGGCACGTCTGTATCCTGTAAAGATAAAAACATGTATGATCTACAAGAACATATTTTACTACAGTATATCAGTTATAAATTTGTTCGTGGGATATGATTTTAATTAAATACAAGGTCTGTTCAAAAAGTATCGGACCTTTTTTTTTCCGCGTAAACCAATGATGTGCGAGAGGCCTCCTTCGGTGGAGTTGTGGAGGGGACAGTCATGCACAGCCCTGAATTTTTTCCCGCCTGCAGGAAGCGTCAGTCGTTGGCAATCGGCCTATGAGTGAGGTCATGTAGTGCGCTCTCGTCGGATTCCACTAAGCTGGAAAATGACTGAACAACGTGAGCAGCGATATTACATCAAATTTTGCCAAAAACCTTGGCGATACCCGAGTGTAAACCATTCGCAAGATTCAGCAGGCTTTCGGGGACGATCCTCGAGGCCAAAAAAAGCGCGGCAGGTCCGCAGCAATATCAAAGGTCATGTTGACAGTTTTTTCGACTCTCGTGGGGTGGTGTGTCGTGAGTACGCACCACAAGGCCAAACCATCACAAAGGAGTACTACCAGGAGGTCCTTCGTTGTCTTTCCGATACAGTGCGACGCAAACGACCGGATCTGTGGTCGATCAAAACTTGGCAGTTCCATCGTGATAATGCATCCGCCCATTCTGCGCATCTGATTCGGGCTTTCGTCACCAAACACAATACTCGTCACGCTCCGTACTCTCTCCACACGGCTCCGTGTGACCTTTGGCTATTTCCCAAGCTGAAAGTGCTGCTAAAAGGAACCCGAATTTAGTCGCGAGAAAACATCGTGCGGAATCCGATGGACCGGCTGATGGCCATTCCAAGAGATGCGTTCCAGCAGTGTTTCCAGCAATGGCAGGAACGCTGGGAGAAGTGTATACATTACCAAGGAGACTACTTTGTAGGGGATTAGGGTTTTGTACCTCAAAGTCAATAAATTTATTTTTGCCGACCAAAGGTCTGATACTTTTTGAACAGACCTTGTATATAGTAATATAACATTGCATGAAATGAACTAATAGAATTAACCTTGTTCTTTCCAAAATAGAATTAACCTTTGTTCTTTCCAAAATAATAGAATTAATCTTCTTCTTTCTTAGCATATAAAAGATGTTATACAATAGGATTAATGCATATAAATACATACATTAATCCTATTGTATATCTCATGTTGTCAAAGTCAGTTGATTATCCCCTTTTTTCCCTCTTTTCAAGAGGCCGAAAATTGTCAAAAGTTTAGCCTTTTACATTTAGGTCAAGCTATTTGTGTGTGTTTGTAACTGACCATGATACTTAAATAAATTGTCACATCCCCACTCTCTTCCACATCTTGCGACAATTTCAACTGAAAATTGGTCTTTTTATCAACATTTACAAATCACTTACCATAAATACAAATAATGACTTAGCAGCATAGAAATTTACCGATTTAATTAATTAACTGAAATTTTTAGTAATAAAAACTGATATTGTCAGAAATATTCAAAAACTAGCAATCATTAGATACATGTTTATTTATCCTTTCTAGAAGGCTAAGGTTCCTGGGCCAAACCCATCCTGCAAACATGTTTGGCATATCACTTATCTAAATATATAAAATTGCTTGTCCTGACTGACTGATTCATCATTGCCCAGAGCAAACTGCTGAACCTAAAGTGAAATTTGGTACACAGGGTACATCATGAAAACGCAAACTAAGAAGGGATTTTTTGAAATTCCTCTGCGGGGGGAGAGGAAGTGGATTAAGTCTTAACTGGAAGAACGGCTTCTACTGTACTATTTCAGATGCAATTTTTTGTTTTTATCTGCGTTTTAGTAGGGTATGCCATGGGAATGCACACTAAGAACGGATTTTTCGAAATTCCTCTGCGGGGGGAGAGGGAGCAGATTAAGGCTTAACTGGAAGAACAGCTTCTACTGTACTATTTTAGATGCGCTTTTTTGTTTTCAACTACGTTTAATTTTCATTGAGTACTTAGATGTATTAAATTGATAACATTTCAGACATTGTTATAAATATTTTTATATATTTTGATTTTTTAACCAAATGCTCAAACTGTTTTAAATTTGAATTTGTTATTGAATATTGATTCGATTATAGAATGATTGTAAACGTTCCCAAAAATTGATCAAATTGAAAACAGTTCGTTTGATTCTCGGCAATTCTCTTCAGTCTTAGCGGTAGGTGTTATATAACAATTACTATGGTTGTTGAAATACTGAATATAAATGGGGTTTGCTTGCAAAACCTCTACGTGCGAAGTTGCAGGTAACAGCTAGTTAAATATAAAATGAAGCATTAGAGGTGCCTATCTTTGTCAGACAAAATTATACTCAATCCAGTTTGTTTTTTTCAATTAATGCATGCAGAACAATCATCATCATGTTTTACAACCATTTCAAGTGGATGAGGTGTTTCAACAATACATGTCTGTGATATACTTAGATGTGTTGCAAGTTTGAGAGTTGTTATTTACAGTATTTATTTTTAACAATTTCCATCTGCAATTTTTTTTGTCCACAGTTTTTGGGCACCCTATAGATTTTGTATCTTTTAGTTCAAAATTTCCCAGACAAAACTCAAAGCCACATTTAATACATTTGAAATTTAGGAGCACCCTCCTCATACACACTATGAGTATTTTTTACTGTTTCTATAGCATTATATCCTTTATGAAACTTAAAAAGCTTAATATGCATTTCATCTGCAGACATTTTGACTTTATTTTACATCTTATTTTAGCTTAAACTTTTCACATCAAGCAAAATGTGATGTAAAAAGTTTAAGCTAAGCATCTAAACAAATAATACAATCTAACATTAGCAATAACGTGTTAAATTTTATAACTGTTATAATTAAATCACATATCTGTTAAGTAAAGACAGCTGTTAAAAATACACAAAAAATTTTTTGTTCTTCATAGAAGCAGATACTGAATTTTCCATTATGTGGTCTGATTTTCTTTTCCATTTCCATGTTTAGTGTTGTCACCTTTTCAAAATTGCTGACCTAGACGGCAGGTCAGGTTTGTTCGAACAGAAGTTCCTGACGGATGCGCAATGCCATTTTGCAATGCGAAGAATAACGTGCATGCTGGTTCTAAATCAGTTACAGTTAGTGACTAGGGAGACTTGGGTAGGAGTAATCTAATAATGTAAGTAACCTAAATTAAGAAAGAAAAAATACAGAAGATGACTTAGCTGTATTCGATATTGGAGATGTATACAATTTGTACAAGTAGAAGCTCAAAAAAAGGGGGCGACAGGTTGCGCACGAAATTCCCAGACAAAATTAATAGTTCACCCAGACTGTCCGGGTGAAAACCGGATGGGTGGTAACACTATCCACGTTGGACAGGTTTTGCTATATACAGGTTTTTTCTATATACAGGTAGGCCTCCTACAACGCGGTAGATAAGTTCCTTGAAAATACCGTGCTGTGGGAAATCGCGTTATAGGAGACACCAACTTAATACAAAAACTGGGATTTGATTCTAAAAAGAGAAAAACTTGCCGTTTGAATGGCATTTTTTGAATTTTTCAAACCAGCCATTGCTAGCCACGAATTTAACACTGCTTTCATCAGCCGACGACTGTCCCATTTGTTTTAAATAATCAAATATTTTTAAGGCTTTGTGTTTAAGTGCAGTTTTATTTAAAGACAACCGTTTCTTGTTCATATCTTCTACCCATAATATTAGCACTTGT